GAGCTCAGACTCTCAGAGGCCTCTGGAAACGTGGCTCCCACATTAGGCCCCTGTGAATGCTGCCCAGGAAGGCCTCCACTTGGGGCCGTGCCTCCTCCCTCACCTGGCTGGTAGCACCAGCACTCTCTTGGTTGGTGCCTCCCAAACACAGGCCATCCCTGTCTGCAGGCCCAGCACTGAGGGAGGCTGAGGACTCATCCTGAGGAAGGACAAGCCCCTCAACTGTAGCTGCCCAGGTTTGTGGCCCCAAGCTGTGGCCCTGGCCTGATGCCCACATCTCCTGCACCAACCGAGTTTGAAGGCAGGCTTGGCCCACAGGGTTCACAGCTGGCTCAACACATACCCAGGAGCCAAGCAGACTTTATTCCTGCTGCAGCCTCTGCTGGCCAGGGTGTCTGCACTGCTGCACACTCCACCCTTCACGGCCACCACAGAGGCAGCAGCTGTGGCCCTCGGCCAACCTGTCAAGGTTCAGTGACACTGCAGTCATAGCAGAAGTTGAAATTGGTGGGGGGCGGGGGGATGGGGGGTGGCTGCTCAGGGATGGGCACGTTCTCCAGCTCCAACAAGCGCAGCTTGGTCTCCATGGTCAGCAGCTGCTCCAAGTCCAGCCGTGTCTGCTCACTGCCCATGGGACTGCCCAGCAGGGTGCTCAGCCCATCTGTCCACAGGTGGAACTGGGGGCGGGGACGGCTCCATGAGGACCTGCCAGCCTCTTCCCCGGCCCATCTGCCCAATTCAGCTCAGCCTGCCCAGACACTCACCTCCTGTTTGGAGGGGGCGATGAAGTTGAGGTACGCCTCCTCCTCCCCGTGGTCATAGCTGACTGAGAAAGCCAACTCACAGAGGTCCTGGGAGGAAGGGAGCCATGAGCACTGGGCAGGGCAGGGCAAGTGGGAAGGAGCCCAGGCCCCTGCCCTCACCTTGTTCTGCTTCAGTGAGCCTTTCTCCCGGACGTGGGGGCAGTCCTTGCCGGTCAGCAGTGCCCTGAGGTCAGCCACTGGGACTGCGGGAAGAAGACTGGGTTGACCACCGGGGCCCCAGGCGTCCCGGGGCATGGGGAGGTCTGGGAGAGCAGGTGTCCTGTCCCTGTCCTCCTTACGCTGTTCTGGGAGGCTCTCGGGGGCAGGTGGACTGGCACCGTCCTCCACGTCCCCATACTGCAGCACTTTGTGGTTGGGGGACAGGCAGCAGAACCACAGCTTGTCTATGGGCAGCAAGGGGAAGAGGGAAGGAGTGAGCAGAGGGGCCCTGACCCAGGCCAAACCCTCTCTGCCCGCTGCCCCCTCAACAACCCTGGCGTCTCCGGCTGCTGATCTTGCGGAAGAGTGTGCCCTCGCAGAGGCGGAGCAGACGCTGCTGGCGGATCAGGCCCATGAGCTCTGGCTTCAGCTTCTCCCGAAGCTCCCTGGGTGGGGGGAGGGGGTTTGCTGACTGAAACTGACCTGGGACAGGCCCATGGGGTACCAGGGAAAGGGGGGCTAGGACTGGGACCCATCCCCACCCACTCACAGTATGGGAGGGGCGAGCGTGACCTCCTGATGCAGCCGCTCCGTCTGGCGCAGTCGCAGCACCTCCGCGTAAGTGAGTGCGTTCACCTTGGTTCGGAAGAGCTCCAGGGAGCTAGGCTTTAGGGCCAGCGTTCGGGCCAGCTGCTCCCGGACCACTTGCATGACCTGGGGCCACCCCAGGCTCAGTTCAGGGTCTGAGCTCTGGACCCCTACCCTGCATAGCCCCCTGCTCTGGCCCAGGTCTCCAGCTCCCACCCACCCACCTTGTCAAAGTCCTCCTGTGTGGCCCGCATCTCCTTCCAGGTCTTATTCAGAAGCTGAATGCTCACACAGAAGAGCTCATGGAAGCTCTGGTCTTGGCTGAAGAACATGGGTGAAAAGTCCTGGGCCGTTTCGGAGCCTGGAGCAGGGGGGCAGGAGGGGCTCAGGGAGGAAGTATGTGAAGCCCCTGGCCCTCTCTGCCCTTCCGTCCCCCGTTCCCAGACACACTGCCCAATCCCACTCACAGGGCTCCCCGACACGGAGCAGCTCACACAGCAGCACCGTCAGCTGGATGCTGCTCCGGGCAAAGGGGCACTCATGCTTGTCCTCACGACTACTGTTCTCCAACACAAACTGGGGTGGTGGGAGCAGAGAAAGGAGCAGAGAGTCACAGCTAAGTCCCTGGGGACCCATCACAGGCAGGCATCCCGCTCTGCCCACACCCCACCACTGACCCGGCTGTAGGCACTGGGTGCGTGTTTGGAGAAGTAGAGCATGTTGTCCAGGGCCAGCAGGCCGGGGGGCACGCGCTCCAGGTCCTGAGCGGGGTTGCTGTTCTGGGGGACGAGGACAGGCAGCTGAGGAAGGGCCCCCGTCCTCTGGAACAACGGCAGCCCGGGGTTGAGGCAGGGGTCACTCACGGTGAAGCCCAGTTTGCGGAACTCCCGGGCACAGAGGGAACGGCGCCGGTCGGCACTCAGCCCGGCACTGGGAGACTCCCCTTCCAGCTCAAAGGCAGCCTGGCGCAGGGCCTGCAGCTGCTCCCGCTGCTCCTGAGGGTCATTATTTGGGGGTGGTTACGATCACAGATTCAAGGCCAAGCTCCGGCTGCCCCCAGCCTCTGTATCCCAAAGGCACCCACCTGGCTGTAGGGGTCCAGTGGTGTCCGCATGCGCTGCTCCAGCAACCCCAGTGTAAGGGACTGCAGTACGTACAAGTGGTGAGCCATCTCGTCGCCCAGTGGTGCTGCGCTATGGATGATGCTCTGGAGGACAGCGAGTCCAGGGGTGTAAGCGTGGGCTCACTGGGGGAGGAGGAGTGGGTGGGCCTGCCTGGCCAGGGCTTCCTACCTTATAGATGAACTGGCGAAGGTTTCTCTGCCACAGGTAGTCAAGCATGTGCTGAGAGTGGGCGGGAAGGGGGCTTAGATGATGTAGCCTCATCACGAGCACCCACCCTAGGCCCGCAGTAGAGCTCAGTGCTCACCAGCTCCTGCCCCTCATCCATCCACAAGATGGACATCCACCAGATGGACACCCACCTTACGGTCCACAGGGCTGGCCCCCTGCAGCAAGGCTGTCAGCAGTGCCATGGCCTTGGTTTGCAGCTGCTGATTCATCCTGGGACAAAAAGAGGACTCAATCGGCCGTCCAGCATCTGGCGCCACTCCCTTCATCTGTGCCCCACCCCCAGACACTTACACCTGTAGGTGTACCAGCAGCCTGTCCAGTGGCACCTCACTCTTGACCACCTGGCCCAGGGTAAGGCTGCTCAAGGTCACACTCTCCAGCAGCCTGAGGGCCAGGGGCTGCACAGATGCGTCCATCAGGTTCATGTTCACATAGCGTATCACCTGTAAGAGGGGTAAGGGTTGTCAGCATGCATGGCCAGATCCTAACCCCACCCCACTGTCCCTAGAAAAGCCCACCCACCTTCTTAACAAAGGGGGTACTGAGCGTCTCCCAGGACACCACGCCGTGCTCCATGAGCTCCAAGAAGGCCTGCAGTGCGAGGGCCAGCTCCTCTCCTAGGCTGGGGGCATATCTGGGGCTGAGCAGGGCCAGTCAGGACCCCCAGCCCCCCATGTCACCACCCACCACAGCCCGACGCTCACTCATCCCCGTCCTCAATGATGGTGCCTAGCTTCTGAAGCCCTTCACGGCTGATGACCTCCTGGGCAAAGGTCATGTCTGGAGCCAGCAGGACGAGGTGCTGCAGGGCTTCCCGGCGTCCTTCACGACTCCCGCTCTGCAGCACACCTAACAGCTGCTCAGCCTCAAGGTCCTGGCAGGGGTAGAAGCAGAAGCTCAGGTGAGGAGGCTGGGTGCAGGTAAGAAGTGGGAACTAGAGGTGTGGAGACCGGGGTGTCCACTAGGTGGAGCACTGCAGGGATGTGACTGGGGCCTGGGGACCTGGGGCAGGGAGAGGCACAGGGGAACAGAAGGAGGCACAGCAGCCAGCGGGGCAGGGAATGCGGGCGGGGCCAGGAGGGGTATTACTGGGGCGGTGCTGAGGCACAGGATGCTGCCATTCTTGATCTCTGAGCGGTTCTGGAGAAGACAAAGAAGGAGAGAAGTCAAGAAGGGCTCTCAGGATTGGTTAATTGGGGTTGTCAATGAGGGAGGATTTGGAACTCAGTGAGAGATCCCTGAGGATGAGGGGTGAGGAATCAGGTCAGGAATCAGGAGTTAGAAGGGGCTAAAGGGGAGAAGGGACTCACATTCTCGGTGATGTATCTCCTGTGTCCATCAGCAAACTGCAGGGCATAGCGTTCAGAGTGAGCCAGACTCCACCTGCGGGCGAGGAGGCTTAGTGAGGCGGGAAAGGGGCGGCCCTCCCGCCTGCCCTTCCCCACCCCCTGGCCGGCCAGGCCCGCACTCACGCGTCGCACACCTCCTTCAGCACAGCGGCCAGGGGCTTTGCCTGCAAGTGAAGGCGTCACTCACGGGGCCAGGAGTGGGGAAGAACCTGGGGACGGGGGAGGGTGGGCTGTTTCGAGGGGAAGGGGGCGACCCAGAGGTGGGCAGTGGGGTGACCTGGTCCAGCTGGATGAGCTGCGGGATGGCGTCACGCTTCTGAACGGCGATCTTCACCACGTCCCGAGGGGGCGCCATGGTCCAGCCGGGGCGGGACACCTGTACCTTCCACCTTGCCGCCTCCTGCCAAGGGCGCACTGGGTCTGGGCCCCTGGGGACAAAGAGGGCGCCCCTGTCCAAGGCCTGAAGCCCGTGGCCCGCACTCACTGCCCAGGCGCCCACTCCAGGCCCGGCGCCGGCTTTCCCGAGGGAGCCGAGGCTAGTTCCGGGTTGGAGTCCGAGGGTGGGAGGCCGGCGCCGGGACTGCCCCGCCCTGAAGAGGCGGCCCCGCCCCGCCCCAAGGTGCGGCAGGTGGAGTAGGGAGGGCGGGCAGCTGGCTCCGCCACACCTCCTTCCCAGCAAGGTGACCCACCCAGTCCCACCACCAATCCAGCGGTCCCAGGGAGAGGGCCAAAAAAAACCAGACCAGAGATAGCCTTAGGCACGATCTTTATTCACTTGGACACTGTACAAATATTACATTTTCCTTTTGTTGAAAAAAAGTATAAAAATAATCTTTATATAGGAATCCATTCGTTACTGCAAATCTTTCTAAATCTCTGCAAATGGCTCTAAATGAGGGTAAATGAATAAACGAGGGGCTATTGGGAGGAGGGAGGTTGGGTCAATCCTCAGGGACTCACCTGCCCAGATTCCTAGCTAGAGACCTCTGTTCCTGTTAGCACCCTCCCCCTTCCCCCAACACCACCTACAGGTGGTCAGGGCTAAGGGCCAGGCAGAAGGGAGGCAGGACAGGTCCAGGAGGAGCTCTAGGGTAAAGGGGTGGAGAGAAGTGAAGGAGGCAAGGAGTGGTGCTGGCAAGTGCCCAGCCCACCCCAGCTTCCCTCCTGGGAGGGGGAGAGCTGACAGGAACAGGGCAAGGGGGAGGTTAGACAAGCTGCCCTATGGAGTGAATGTGTTTCCTCACTCTGTGACACTGGGTGGCAGCAGAGCCGGGGCTCAGGGGGGGCACAGGGAGGACACAGGTGGGGGAAGGCTCCAGAAAAGGAGAAGCAAATATTTTGGCTCCACCATGGAGGGAGCTGAGCCCCTTCTGCTCTCCCAGCACAATGCAGGTGTCAGTGCAGGAGTGGGAGCTGTGGCCAGAACTGTGCCGTGAGGGAAAGCTGGGGAAGCCGGAGTCTGTGCTCTCAAGCTGTGTGTACGGCTGAGATGTAGGAGGTCCCCAAGCAGCCCTCAGGTTAGACAGTCTGTGTCCCAGCCACATAGGGCATGTCCCCGTCAGAGGTTGAGAACAGGCACATCAAAGAGGTCACAGACGCCTTCACTCTCATCCAGGTTGTAGATGTAATCGTGGTCTCCGGGGGGCGGAGAAAGGCGGAGAAGGGGGGCAAACACTGCAGAGAGCACCAGACTGAGGCCTGAGGTCAAGGCCAAGGCCCCCCACAACAGCCGCCCAACCCCTTGCCCACACCCACCGCCCACCTTCCTGGGCCACCCACCTTCTGAGGACATCAGCTCCTCCAGTAGCTCCGAGCTCATGCACTCTGGGGAAGGAGGGAGACCTCACTCACATTCTGGCTCCTGCCTCTCCACCCACCAAGCCCATGAAGAGGACCTCCCTCTGCTCCCATCAGGAACTTTTACACTATGTCCAGGTACCAATCATAACCCCGTCCCCAAGCTTCCTCAGAAGCTGCAAGACCCAATAAGCTGTGCCCCGTTCCCAGCCCCAAGGAGGAACACAGCCCTACCTGGTGTGGGATCAAAAATTTCTGACAGCTCTTTGGGGAGTTCCAGAACTGAAAGATAAGAAAGCCATGCTCAAGGGCACAGAGGTCCCACTCTAGCCCCCAACTTTCTCAGATCCTATACCACCCACCCTGGGGTTCCACATAGCTGAAGAGAGGAAGGCCCTGCCCTAAGCCAGGCTGGCATTATCTGTTGGTCTCCCTTGCTGACAAATTCTTCAGTGTGGAGTCCAGGATACCTAAGGCTCATTGGAGGTGACTGGTACGCCCTTGTAACTCAGAAGTGCTGCAGAAGGGCAAGCACACCACTCCCTTTCTGGGTCCAGCATGCATATGCTGACTGATGCAGGATACCCTGTCTGATGGAGGATACCCTGTCTGATGGAGGATACCCTGTCTGATGGAGGATACCCTGTCTGATGCAGGATACCCTGTCTGATGAGGAATACCCTCTCTGATGCAGGATATCCTGCCTGAAGAATGCCCTATCCATCCTTGCCCTTACTGAGCACTTCCTTGGTGCCAGGCTTCAGACAGCACACCCGAGCAGGGTTACCTGGCAGAGGAGGCAGACACTTCAATAGGGGCTGGTGCTACAGGGTGACAACCCTGCTACAAAAGTCTCATCGGGAGGATGCGCATGCAAAGCAGAGGAAAATGAAGCTGGGAGGAGCCGCGGCTGGCTGATCACCAGGGATGTCATAGGCGAGGTTTAGGAGCTCTGGTTTTACCCAGCAGGCCTTAGGAAGCCATTAAAGGTACTTTTGTAAACAGAGGAATGCCAGTCAGGTTGTGTTTCAGACAGACCCTTGTCGGTTGAGGTAAAGAGGAGGATGCTGAAGAATTTACGAGAAAGGTGGCTGGCAGTGATCCTGAGTGTTGGGGATATAAGAGATATCTGGAATTGAACTCACTTAGGTGATGTGAGGTGAGGAGTCGAAGGAGCTGGAACTGGAAAAGCAAGTTTTAGTTGAGAACACATGGGAATGAAGTGCCCATTGGATGTGCAGAGGAAGGCACGTGGACACAAGCATGGAGTTCAGGCAAAAGATCTAGGCAAGACGGAGGCTGGGGCTCATCTAGCCCTCTGCAGGTGTGGAATGGGATAGAGGCCCGGGAGTGTCAATGGTTAAAGAAGCGCCAGGGAGAGGCCAGAAGGGAAGCCGGTAAGAGGAGCCAAGAGCTGGTATCATTAAAGCCAAAGGAGAAAAAAAGCATCAATACGAAGCAAAAGAGCAGCAGGGCACATGAGCCTCAAAACGCGCTGGAGCTGGCAGTCGGGGGTGGGTATCAAGAGCATGGGGTGTGAGGTGGGTACAGGGGTCCTAACTGCTGCAACCGAAGGGTGACTGGGAGACCAACATATGAAGTGGAGTGGAGATGGCTTTTTCAGAGTCCTGACAGAGAGAAGACAGGGAAGGTGAGAGGGGGATACTCAGAGGGATGCTCATTTAGTGGGAGCGGTGTTTATGGGCTGAGGAGAACGAGTCCTGGAAAAAGCAAACACTCAGGCACAGGATGGAGATGGAATCCAGGCAGATAACATCGCCTCTCCAGGGAAGGGGCTGCCGACCTTTGGAGCCTGAGGGTCATACCACAGCCCCGTCCCCAAGAGAGTGCTCTGCCTTCTTGAGACCTAAGTCCAGGGTGGCAGGCCGGGCTTGAGAGAGGGCCGGGGAGTTCTGGGTCAGACCAATAAGGGGGACAGAGGGGCACCGCACCAGAGGGAGGCCAAGCTCCGCACTCTCGTTGGCAGAGCTCTGGTCTAGGCAGGGTTGACAGCAAGGGCTGGCCCTCATGCTGGCCAGCTCTGGCTGAGGAGATAGGAGAGCTGGGTTTCTAGCCCAAATTCTGTTTCTGACCCAAAACTGGCTCAGGCTGGATTCTCCTTGCTCCTGATGGGACAAGTACTCACCACCTGTGGGGTCCACTTTGATGGGCTCAAAGGAGGTAGAAGGGTTGGGTCCAGATGAACTGCTGCTGCTGCTGCTGCTGCTGCTACTACTGCTACTGCTGCTGTCCAGCAGGGCAGACGACTGCAGTGGCCGGGTGTCCAGTGCTGCCGGGCCCAGCGAGAGTGAGCTGAGCTCACCACTGTCCTTGTTATCAGATCCAGGGCCGCCACTCACTGCAACCACATGGCCCAAACCCATCACTTGGGGCAGGAAATGGAATATTGAAAATGGCTGTGCTAGAACCCACAGCCAGGATGACTACAGCCCTGGTTCCCAGGCCCAAGGAGAGTCAGGCACTGCCAGTCACCCCCGAAGAGGTCATCTGGAAATGAGGTACTGCAGGAGACAGGGGCATGAGGCCTCTAACACAGAGGCTGCCAAGGCAAGTCAGACAGGTGGATCTGGGGGGAAACTGCCACCACTAATGTCCCTTCACACAGTCAGAGATTCCCTGTTAAAAAAGGCTCTCCTTGTCCCGCCAGTGTGGCTCAGTGGTTGAGCATCAACCAATGAACCAGGAGGTCACAGTTCGATTCTCAGTCAGGGCACATGCCTGAGTTGTGGGCTCAATCCCCAGTAGGGGGCATGCAGGAGGCAGCCGATCGGTGATTCTCATCATCTTTGTTTCTACCACTCTCTCCCTCTCCCTTCCTCTCTCTGAAATCAATAAAAACATATTTTTTTAAAAAAGAAAAAAGGCTCCCTTGTCACAGCAAGGGGAGGCCAGCTGAGGGCCAGGAAAAGGACAACCTCCGCAAGGTCTCTTCCAGCTCTGAGTACAGCATCCCACAACACAGAGGTATTGCCTCTTGGGCCCCAGAGATCACCCCATCACCAGATGCTCATCATGCCTCACCTATGATCTCAGCTGCTGGAATGGCCATCCCTTGGGCTTCGACGCTAGCAGGGGCACAGATGGTGGTGGTGCTGGTGACCTGGGGACTGCTTGGGTGTGAGGCATCCTGGGGCAGGGCCACAGCAGGTTTGGGTAGAGGTGGAGGAGTAGAGAGAGCAGATGGGCTCTGGAGCAGATCTTCAGGTGGCGGCACAGGCACTGCCACAGGCGGTGAGCTCCATGCCTCCTTGTTCACCAGCAGCACCTCGATGGGACCACTCACACTCTTCAAATGAATCTGGTACTTCTTCTGCCCATTGAGGCCCTGCAGGTGTGGGGCAGGTGGAATTGGAAGCAGGCTTGGCTCCTGCCTGACCCTGAGCCACAGTGCCCTCTCTCACCCCAGGCTGCCCATTCTCCTAGATAACCCGAAACCTCAGGCCTCCCCTACCCACCCCACCCGAGACTTATCGGGCTCCACAGCCAGCCCCCGCCCTCAGCCAACCCCGCCTGCCTGAGCTGAGCACCCACCTCTGGGATGGGCACCTCCAAGCTGGTGCCAGAAGGAGCCCGGATGGCTAGAAGAGTGTCTCCTAGAATAACAAGGGGGATGGGTCAGGGCCCAGTGGTTCAATCTGAGCTGGGAATGGGGGTTCCTGTTCCTTGGAGCAGGAAGACCACGGTCTCTGAGGGGCTAGACACCCAATCCCCATAGTGGCTGGGACAGAAAACTAAAGCTTTTCTCCTTCTAAGACCCCAAGGGTGAATAACCAGAAAATATGAATTTAAACATGTGGAGCAAAACATTGCTGGCCAGGAGTATCCCATTCCCCAACTGAGGGCTGCTCCCTAGGTATAGGTGTTCTGGCCAAGGCCAACATCCCTTCCCCAGGACGGGTCTGGGGGATCAAAGACAGAGGAGGAACAGCTCCTGTATCCACAATGCAACTGAACGAACTGCAGGTTGGAAGCGGGCATCATGGCCCCCTGCATACAAGCATGCACGCATGAGCGCACGTACACGTACAGGTACACACACACACGCACACACACTTTCCCCTTATGTTTGCTCTTCACACCTGAGAAGCCAAACCCAAGGCACCATGCAGATGGGGACTGACCTAGAGACCCAGCCCAGAATTCCTGTATCCCCTCAGTATGGTTGGCCTCCATAGAGCCCCAGTGATCCTCTCACCCAGGACTCACCCTGCCTGACTGCTCTTTGGGAAGGCCCCAGCAACTCTCTTAAGAGACAGAACTCTCTTTAGATACTGAACCCACTGCTCAGGGCTGTGGCTCAGCCCAACCCCAACCCCATCTCCCCCCACTCAGGCTCTGCTCACCAGCAAAGCATCTGCAGATGTCCTCATGAGTCACGTAGGCCAAGGTGTGGGGGTTAAGGAGAACGACTGATGCCCTGCCTATGGTGACAGATGGCAGACCACACAGAAGACCCAGCTCTTCAGCAGAGGTCTAACTTACAAGCCCTCGGAGAAAGTCCTGGGGTCTGGGGTCTAGAAGGGAAGGATCACAGACCAAGATTGGTGGGAGAGGGGCTCTGAGAGGGAAGCAGGAGGCTGGGACCCGGCCAGGAGCTGCAGGACCATCCTCCCCAGAGGGACAGAGCCAGGACACCACAATGCAAACCCAGCTGGACTAGAGGGCCCCTCGCCCACACCCCAGGAGCGGGGGCTGCCAGGAGGATATCAGCTGTTCTGCACGTCCTCTGTGACGTTCCGGATGCTCTGCTGCACCCACACCTTGTGTTGATCCAGCTCTTGCTCTCGCTGCTGCAGCTCTTCGATCTCTGCCTTAAGCTCAATCAGCTTGTCCGCAATCTCCCGGGTGTTACAGCCAGGCCCCACGCCCCTGAGCCCAGGGAGGGGGGCTGAGGAGGCCTGCCAGGAGCTCTGGGTCCCATGGACCCTGCTCTCTCCTGCACCCTCCACCGCCCACCCAACACTTCCGGATGGGAGATCCCACTGCCCTCCCAGGTGCCTCTACTCACTTCCACTGGATGCTATTCTTGGATTTTTTCTCGATCAGCCCAATACCTTCCAGCACGTTGGTAATGTCGTAGATCCGCCGCTTCTGGCGCACAGCTAGGGTGTCAGCTGCCTGGCAGAGAGAACAGAGAGGAGGATGCTCAGCCCCACTCTCAGGTGTACCCTCAGCTACCTGGAGACTTGGCCTGGAGGGGGCTGGAAAGGGGGTGGACAGGCCCAACCCTCCTCCCAGGCATCACAGCAGCTCAGGACCGCAGGGTGGAAAGAGGCCCGGCACAAACTACACGGACGTTCCGATGCTCTTTTCCCCGGGCAGGGAGGGCCACGAGGACCAGCACCTGCAACCCTGAGCCTGGCACAGGGCTGACACCCAGTGGCCTCGGCCGAACGAACTACACAGCTCCCGACCTCCCACTTGGGAGAAAGCACCCGGATGGCGGCTTGCTCTCCGAGGGCTCCGCTGGGTCGCCCCAGGAGTTCCCGCTACCTGCCCAGGCCTATTCCAACATCCCCTCTGCCGCCCCGCAGGCCGGACCGCACCAGCTTGAGGTCAAGCACGCCGTCCTTGGCCTCCTGCAGAAGCGACACGAACTTGGTAGTGAGAAGCCCCAAGCTCTTCTCGTGCCGGCTCGGGGTGCCCGGGGGCGGCGGCGCCTGTGGCCCGGCCTCCGCCATCGCGCCCGCCCGCCGCCTCCCCTCAGCCAGGCCAGGCCAGGCCGGCGCCGCCGCCACTTCCGCTTCCGTTCCTCACCGCCCAGCCGCCGGCGCCATCGTCGCAGCTTCCGCTTCCGTTCCGCTCTCTCCTAGGGAACGTGGGGCAATTCCTCTCCGCGGGTACGGCCGCAAAACTTTGGGGCCGTCAGCAAATTTTCAACCGCCGAAAAGGACGAAATCAGCCCAGGTGGAGGAAGTCGGTGGCAGCCCAGGCAGTAGAGAAGGGGGAGCCACCAAAACCTTCCGGGTGGCCAACCCGTCTCCGGAGAGGAGACCGCGCTGCCGGATGAACCCAATGTGTGTCCCCAATTCCTGCTCCTATAAGCTGCCCCTCTGTCTTGGGGTCACCCATCCTATTATCGTATCTCACTTCCTGCCAAACAATAAGCACTAACTACATCTAGCTTGTCCTCTCGTCTCCAGCCTCACTCCCCTTCCCTGGTCCCAGCCTCATCTTCCTCTAGTCTCCACCCTGCAGTGCTCAGAGGCCACAGAATTATAGCCACTTTTCAGCCAATGCAAACACGTATACCAATGAGTCAATATATGTAAAGCACTTAGAGCAGTTCCCAGCATGTAGGGAGGATTTTGTGTTTGCTGGTATCATTTTGTTATTTTTTTTTTTTTTTTTTAGCGTTTTTGTTATTATTTCTACCCAGTCAGATTCTCCAGGAAGCAGACTTTGACCCAGGGATCTGCCTGCAGGAAGTTTATCCACGCTTGTAAGATAAGCAGAAATGGACAGAGAAGGAATTAAACTGCAATGCAGTTATAATAAAGACCCCAGCCCATCCTACTAGGAGCTCTGAAACTGGGGTGGCCCTTCCAAGACGTTCCATATCCAGACAGGGGTACGGGTTCTGGGCCTTTGTAGCCCAACACTGGCCTCGAGATTCAGCTGTGAGACCTCAGCAGCATACACTGCAAGCAGCGAGGGGAACAAGTGCCTTTGTCCTGAGGGTGTATTTGGGTGATTCCCTAGTGCCCGCTACATTATTACTACCTTATAGTCCCTTCTGTGGCCCCTTAACTCTCAAGATAAACAGTTCTCAGAGCCCACCATACACATTCTTTTATATATATTTATTTTTATTGATTTTTTTTTTTTTTTTACAGAGAGGAAAGGAGAGGGATAGAGAGTTAGAAACATCGACAAGAGAGAAACATCAATCAGCTGCCTCCTGCACACCCCCAACTGGGGATGTGTCCACAACCAAGGTACATGCCCTTGACCAGAATCAAATCTGGAACCCTTCATTCCACAGCCGACACTCTATCCACTGAGCCAAACCGGTTAGGGCTCACATTCTTCACAATAGCCTGTGATCTCTCACTTCTCTGCAGAGGTTACACACCCTCCTCTGAAGGGCCTGTCAGCATAGTTTTCATACTGTGATGTTGTCTGCATCCATGTTTGCACACCTCACTCTCCACCCCAAATTGGGGCCATCCAGTTCATTTCTGTTCTGAGCACTAAGAGGTCCTGGGTGGACTGGTCAAGACTTAATAATCACAGGGAGTACCGCCGCCTCCCCCCAAGGAAGTGAGCCCAGCCCTCCCCACCCCACCCCACCCCACAACACAGATGCTCTTTCCTGTTGGGAATAAAACGCCAGAGACTCAGCTTCCTTCCTTTCTGCATGTGGTCTTGGGGAGAGAGGAGGCAGGCTTCTGGACAGGGAGGTGGGACTGAGGCTTCCTTGGAAAGGGGAACTCGGCTGCATGCGGAGGTGTGACCCAGAGCCACCTAGGCCCTGGGAGCCAGTGGAGGGAGTGCCCAGCTCTGCTGTGAGGGCTGGGGGAGAGGGCCATCCTCAAGGCCAACGCTGTTTGCGGAGGAGGGAGAACTGGCCGCCTGGTCAAGCCTGGTGAGTTCCATACCAAACTGTCCTCTGCAACGCAGAACAGGAGCAGGGTCCAGTGGAGGCCTGTGCTCACCCTGCCTCACTTGGCATCTGAAGGGGCAACGCTGAGAAACCCAGCAAAGGAGGCTTCCCAGGTGCCTCCCCATCTCACCCTGCCTCCCTCCCATTTGCTGAGGAGCCTGGGCAGGAACCTCCCTCCTCCTTCTGAGAGGCCTAGACAGAGCCTGCAGCTCAAAGCTCCTCCACTCTGCCTGCTCTGGCCCAGACCCTTGCCCTGACTCCTACCTCCGCTCTGGCTCCTCCAGGGCCTAAAATGGACCCCACAGCCAAGGATGAAATGCAACCTTCACTTCCTCCCGGTATGAGCCCTTCTGGGTGGGTTGGGGGAGGGACGTGGCAAGAAAGATGGGAGTGGTGGGCTTGGGCCCTCCCTGCCAGGTCTGGCTGGAGTTCTGTCGGTCAGTGAGAGGAGTAGACTGCCCTGGGGTTTCAGGCTGAGGAGCAGGAAGGGGAGCAGGGTCCGGCAGCTGCTTCCTTCAGGCCCTGCCCAACTGACATGGCTACCCAGGCTCTTCCTGCCCAGGGCCAGAGTGGCCGGAGCAGGAGAGGGCGGAGCAGCTGGCCCGGGGTGCAGCACTCAAGTGGGCCTCAGGCATCTTCTACCGGCCGGAGCAGCTGGCCAGGCTGGGCCAGTACCGCAGCCGTGAGGTACAGCGCACCCGCTCCCTGGAAGCACGCATTAAGGTGGGCATCAGGCAAGGGGCAGGAGAGCTGGGGGTGGGTGGCCAGCTGGCCAGGCCTCACCGTCTCCCTCCCTTCCGCAGTCAGTGGTGCAGTCATACCTGGAGGGTGTGAAGACTGGTGTGTGGCAACTGGCACAGGCCCTCGAGGCCGTGCAAGGAGCCCGTGAGGCCCTGGGCCAGGCCCGTGGGTTGCTCCGGGGCATGGCCAAGGCTGTACAGACCCTAGAGCCCTTGCGGGAGCAGGTTGTCCAACACAAGCAACTGCAGGCCCTGTCTCAGCTGCTGCCCCGGCTGCGAGCAGGTGAGTGTGCAAGGGCCCTGGGATCCAGCCCCCAACAGTCAGTCAACACACTCATCAAGGGGCTGGGGTACCAGCGGGAGGTTGCATGGAGGGACACCCCAAGGGCCTCCCAGAGAGTAACTCTGGCTTCAGGTGGCACAGAAAGCAGGGTGCAAATTAGCTCACTCAGGTTTCCGAGCAGGGGATGTCTGCGTCAGCACTGATACCGAGTCAAGTGGCTCTGGCCGCCCTGGTTGTTACATTGAAATATTCCCTAACAGCGTGGGTGAATAGCCACTAGAATGTCCTCCCGTTCCTCCCTGCCTTCCCTCCAGGACCCCTGACTTCCTTCTGTTCCATCAGCTCAAGCGTTTACACCTGGCCCAACAGGCCTCTGCCCTTCCCTGGTCCTTTCAGATTGGCCAATGCTCTACTATCCTGGTTATATTTTATTCTCTAATAAGATTAAATTCATTCAGTAAAAGTCTACTCTACTGGTTATTTAATACTTTATACATCACCCCAGCCGCAGGGCCTCAGCATCTGATCCTGTACCCATTGCACAGGTGGGAAGGCTGAGGCCCAGGGCTGTCTCCTCTGCTCCCTCCTCAGTGCCGGCTGCAGTGGTCCACACACAGACCCTGATTGATGCCCATCGGCTCTTGGAGGCATATGTGAGCCTTAGGGAGCTGGAGCAGCTGCAAGAGGAGACGTGGGCCTCTCTGGGGAGTCTGGAGTTGCCAGTCTTTGAGGGGCTGGGCCCTCTGGCTGAGGCACTGGGCCAGGCTGTGGAAGCAGCTGTAGGGGCTGCAGGGCAGCTGGCCCGGGAGGACCCAGCCCTGTTGGTGGCTGCTGTGCGCGTGGCGGAGGTGGAGGCTGGCAGAACAACCCCCCTGGAGCAGGGCCCCCGGGACTGGCGGCAGCGCTGTCTGCGAGCCCTAGAGGAGGGCCTAGAGCGGGCCCACTTTGGGACACCCCTGCTGCCTGGACCAGGGGCCCTAGCAGGGTGGCTGGAGGCTCTGCGGGTGGCTCTACCAGCCGAATTGGCCACAGCGGAGGCACTGATAGCACCCTGCTGCCCACCACACTACAAGGTGGTCCGGCTGTGGGCCCACACCCTGCACGGCGGCCTGCGGCGCTGCCTGCAGCAGTTCCTGGAAGGGCCGGAGCTGGGAGCCTCTGACGCCTTCACCTTGCTGCACTGGGCGCTGCATGTGTACCTGGGGTCAGTGCCCCTGGGGCAATGGGAAGTGGGTGGATCAGAAGCTGGGGGCTCAGAGTGACGCTAGGCCACTCATCACCAGGCCAGAAATGATGGGGAGCCTGGAATTGGGGCCGGAGGCTGATGTGTCTCAGCTGGAACCTCTCCTGACCCTGGAGAATATCGAGCAGCTAGAGGCAACATTTGTATCCAAAGTCCGGGTGAGTAGTGGGGCCCAGGTCCAGAGCAGCTCTGCCACCAGCTGTGGGACTGTATCTGTAGGGTCACATGGCTACCTGTCTCTAGCAGGGTCAGTGCCCTGCTACATTCTGCTGCCCCTTGTCCCTTCCGCCAGGCAAGTGTGGTGCAGTGGCTGCAGAAGGCACTGGAAGGGGAAGTGGCTGAATGGGGCCGGGAGCGGGAGCCTGACACAGATCCATCCGGCTTCTACCACTCACCAATGCCAGCCATCGTGCTGCAGGTGGGTGGGAAGTGGCAGCCAGGTGGACAGCCCTCATACAGAAAGCGGGGGAGAGGGGGGCAGAACTAGGACGCTGCTGATGGCTGCCCATCCCTGCCTGTAGATCCTGGAAGAAAACATTCGAGTGACCAGCCTGGTCAGCGAGTCACTGCAGCGGCGGGTGCACGGCATGGCACTGTCAGAACTGGGAGCGTTCCTGAGGAGGTCTGCCAAGGCACCGGCCCACCCCCACCCCCGGCCCTGCTCCTGGGGCAGCCCAGGGGGGCTCTGAGTGAATAAGGCACAGCAGTGGGAAAGGCTCCTTGCAACAGTGCCTTGGGTATCTTGGAGGTGGGGGCCAGAGTACTTGGGACAGAAATTGTTGGGGTACCAGTGACAGCAGGGACAGGCGCCACCTCTGTCCTTTGCAGCTTTAATGATGCTCTGATCCGATTCTCCCGAGACCACCTCAGAGGGGAAGCAGTGGTCCCTCATTACGTGTCCTACCTACTGGCTGCCCTCAACCACCAATCGGCACTCAGGTACCATAAGGCCCCCACAGAACCCCACCTCCACTGACTGCTGAGTACCTGCTAAGTATGGACCCAGCCTTCACTGGTCTATTAGGAACTTTGGAGTCACATAGCCCCGTGGTTCCAATCCTAATACTACTAATTACTAGCTGGGTGACCTTGGGCTAGTTACTTCATCTCTCTTATTAGTATTATATGAGTAACTAGAGGCCCGGTGCATGAATTTGTGCACAGGTGGGGTCCCTCGACCTGGCTGGTGATCAGGGCTGTTTGGGGTCGGCTGGCCAGGGGGGAAGGACCATGGGGGTTGGCTGGCCACCCTGATGGGGGCCGATCAGGGCCAGCCGCGGGGGAGGGACTTCGGGAAGCTGGCTAGCAGCTGGAGATTGGCTGTGGGAGTGCACTGACCACTAGGGGAAGCTCCTATGTTGAGCATCTACCCCCTGGTGGTCAGTGAACATCATAGCTACCAGCAGGTCCTCCAGTCATAAAGGTTGCTTAGGCTTTTATATATAACTAAACTAGAGGCCTGGTGCACGAAATTCATGCACAGCGGGGAGGATCCCCTTAGCCCAGCCTGCACCCTCTCCAATCCAGGACCCCTTGGGGGATATCCGACTGCCGAGGTACTCCTGGGGATCGGTCCTAAACCGGCAGTCGAACATCCCTCTCACAATTCTGGACTACTGGCTCCTAACCGCCTCTGCCTGCCAGCCTGATTGCCCCTCACTACCCCCCCGCCGGCCTGGTCACCCCTAACTGCCCCCCTGCCGGCCTGATCACCCCTAACTGCTTCTGCCTGCCAGCCTGATCGCCCCCAACTCCCCCCCCCCCCCCCGCCGGCCTTGTTGCTCCCAACTGCCCCCCCTGCCGGCCGGGTCACCCCACACAGCCTGTTTGGTCATCTGTTCAGTTCTGATGGTCACTTAGGCTTTTATATAGATAGATGAGATGTTCTGAGGATCACATTTGATGTAAAGTACCTACCACAGTGCCTAGCACATAGTCTCATGTATTCATTAATTCAACATACTACAACATAGTATACTCACCAAGGCCTACTCTGTGTCTGGGGTTACAGCTGTGATCAAAACAGAAAAGTATTTCCTTCCCCTTGGGTCTTATATTATTTGGGATTAGAGGGCCAGTGCATGAATTCATGCACAGGTGGGGTCCTTCAGGGTGGCCTGTGGAGATTGGGCCCCAGTTCACACCCCCAGCCTCACAGCCCCACCTGGCACCCTGCCTTGGCCTGGTGCTGCCTGCTCTGCCATCCTGCCTGCGGGGCAATCAATCAGGGCTGCAGCACCCCCCCACCCCCCCGCTCCTTCTGCACCTGGGAGCTGGGCAGCAGCCTCGCACCCCACCGCTGCCACTGGTCTCCATATGCAGGGTGATCGGTGGAGCAATCAGGCCTCGCTCGCATCTGCTTTGGCCTAGTGCCGCCCACTCACCTGCTCCACCATCCCGCTGCGGTCCCGCTGTTGTCGGGGCTCATCGGGGCTGGCAGCACCTCCACTGCTGCCCGCTGCCAGTGCCGCATTGCCAATGCCCACCATGTTCCGCGCCGCCCCCTGGTGGTCAGCGCACATCATAGCAAGTGGTCAAACTCCCGGTCTCCTGGTTGAATGGGTCGAATGACCACCTGAGGGGACAATTTGCATATTAGGCTTTTATTACATAGGATGGGGACAGAGAGGTCAGACAAACAAGTTACTCCCTCTTGACTGATGAACTCTCTCCCCTTACCGATGAGGAAACAGAAACAGGAAGACATGGCTTGCTCAAGGTCTCACTGGGAATTAGAAACAGGTCTGACTGGGTTGTGTCTTTCCTAGCTTGCTGAGCCCACCCGTGCACACCCTAGACCAGCAGTTACCAACCTGTGGGTCGCGACCCCTTTGGGGGTCGAACGACCCTTTCACAGAGGTCACCTAAGACCATCGGAAAACACATATATAATTACATATTGTTTTTGTGACTAATCACTATGCTTTAATTATGTTCAATTTGTAACAATGAAAATACATCCTGCATATCAGATATTTTACGATTCTTAACAGTAGCAAAATTACAGTTATGAAGTAGCAACGAAAATAATTTTATGGTTGGGGGTCACCATAACATGAGGAACTGTATTAAAGGGTCGCGGCATTAGGAAGTTTGAGAACCACTGCCCTAGACCTTCAGAAGGCGAGGGCCCTTCTTGCCCCGTCCCGCCACACACACTTCCGCCACTAGGTGGCGCCCAAGTGGCCAGACCATCGAGGGCTGTGAGGGCCTTGGCCTTGGTCCTGAAGCCCTACTTTTGGTTGGTCCAGCTCCTCCGTGTCCGTCTTGCAGCCCAAAGGGGTGGTCTCAGGGGCCTTGGCTCCGGTGGAGGCAGCGCTGGACGAGTTGCAGAGGAGGATCTGCCGGCTGGTGTTGGAGGCGCTGTTGCTGGAGCTCCAGGTGAGACTTCAGGTGGGGATAAGGGTAGGAGGAGATAAGGCGTATGTTTGGGAGTCTCTGCGGGGAAATTCCGGGTCTGGATCGTCCTTCCAGCCCCTGTTCGCGACTCTGCCCTCGCGCCGTTGGCTGTCGAGCCCGGAGCTGCTGAACAATGTGTGCGAGCGGACAGCGCGCTTCTGCCGGAACTTCTGGCGTGTTCGGAACCCCGCATTCCAGGTGTGTTGGGGAAAGGCTGTCGGGGGTGGAACGCCGATGGAAAAGGTGTCCTGGGCCCACGTGATAGCCCTCCCCGCAGGTGCTCCTGGCCGAGACGGAGCGTGCGGTGGTGCTGCAGTACCTATGTGCGCTGATGCAAGGCCGCCTAGTGTGCCGCGGTGCGGACGAGCGGAACCAGGCAGCCGAGCGCATGCAACAGGATGCCACCCAGCTTCGGGATCTTTTCCTCGATTTGGTAAGAGCTTGTTGGGCGAGCAGGTGGGTGTGAGTCTCCGTGGTTGAGTGGGAGCCAAGGGCGGGCTCAAGACCTAGCCCAACGTGGTCAGGGCCTGGAAGAGAGCGCTCATTGCGCGCCGGTGCTGCTCACCCTGCGGAAGCTGCTGAACCTCCACGACCCCACGATGCTTGGCCTCGAGGTGGCAAGCCTTCGGCAACAATTTCCCGACGTAAGGTACGTGGATGGGGGCGGAAAGGGAGAAGGAACCTGGGAGGGATGGGGGGGGCTGATGCATCGCTGTGGTCCCCCCTTAGCGAGGAACATGTCTCTGCCCTCTTGGACCTGCGCGGGGACGTGTCCCGAGAGCAGCGCCAAGCCGCACTCAGCTCCCTGCAGGACGGCTCGCAGCCCTCGCCCCGCGCGGGTCGCCGCGCACTCTTCAGCCTTGTGCCAGCACCTACACCTTCTCCATCCTCCTGCCTCTTCTCGGGGTCCTGTGCCTGACTCTCAACTGCTCGCAGAATAAAGCTGTGTGCCCGCTCCCCCCACCCCCGTACGCCTGAATTGTGTGTGTTGGGAAGGGCTGGGGGATGAAATAAAAGTGTCCGCGAACGTTAGGGGGTCCAGGACAGGGACACGTCTACGGTATCCTGGCTCCAGTCCAGATATTCCGGCTGCCCCTCTCTGTCCCGGCATCAGTTCCCAAGCACCCGGCTTCCGTGAGCGGACTGCACCCCCACGACTCCGCGCCGAAGCAGTGATTTCGAGTCTCCCCAGCCCTGACTCGGGTACCACCGGAAGCCTTGAAACCCGCCTGGCCTGCGGGGAGCGGGCGGGCTCAGGACAACGCCCCGCCTAGGGACGTGACTTGAGGGCTGACACCGCCCCCCCGGCCCTGCCCGGCCCCGCCCCCGCAGCTGTGTTCCCTGGAGCCGGCCGCGGAGATGGACGCGAGCCCGCGCGCTTGCGCGTGCGCGTGCGCGTGCGCGCACCCGAGTGCGTGCGTCCCGGGCGTCAACTCCGGAGGGCTGGGCTGCCGGCGACCGATGTCTCGGAGCGGGAACGGTGACGGAGAGAAGAGCAGCGAACAGGTGGGGGTACGACCCGAGGATGGAACCCTTTTACCCGGAGAGGCTGAGACGGCGCGCGACGGGACCCCCCACCTCACCTACCAAGAAATCCCCCTTCTATTGTCTCTTGGCCCCGCCCTCCATTGGGCACGCCCTTTGCCTCATCCCCCGCCGTTTATTGGCTACAGGTCACGCCCCTCCTAGATATCTCCGTTCCCATTGGCTCCTCTTCCACGTTATCCTCTCCGGGAGTTTCCCCATTGGCGCAGGCCACACCCTCTCATTTGTCACCAGACTCCACCTTCAGTCTGGGTTCCTCCCCTCGCCATCCTTCATTCATTCTGCATCTCGTGCTGGATGCTTGAGACATGGGAGTGAGTCAGACCCGTCCCTGCCCTCAGGGAGTTCAGGACATGGTGAGGGGACACGGACCTAGGCTACGACAGTGACAACCTAGGGCGGTAAAGAGGCCGCCTAGGCGCCCTGGGAGCCTCTAAGACGCCTGGAAGACTTCCCGGAGGAGGTGAGGCCTAAACCAAGCCCTGAAAAAATAGATAGGAGTTTGCTCCAGGGAGACATTGGGAAAGCATTCTTGGCAGAGGGGCCTGAGACATAAAAGACACAGGCGTATTCTGGCCATTGCAAAGAAGTGGGTGGAAGGAAAGATGAAGGGGGACTGGTCCAGGTAGAGGCTCGGAGACCACTGAGAAGTTCAGTAAAGTGCACAGTTAGTTGAGGGGAGTGAAGCCTGAGGCCAGAAATCTTTTTAAGCAGCTGGTCTCTGGGCGGGGTGGAAGGAATGTGTGTGTGTGGAGGGCGGGGCGGGGGGGGGGGTGGGGAGCGGGGGTCAGATCCAGATGGGAAAACAAAGTGCAAGGAAGGAATGATTCCAGTTCTGAGAAGGAAAGGGGCTCTTGGGTGCAGTCATTTATTGAACAGCTGCTCTGGGCTCTGGGGACACACTGTGAACACTCAAAAGGAGAAAACAGATTAACTAACAATTAAATACGCTGTACTTCATATGGAGGTACCTGCTACAGAGAACAATGACCGGAAGGAAGGGGGTGGGGAATTGTGGTGGAATAGGGAGAGGAGATTTACTGTTTTATAGAGTGTGCTTTAGGGAGGCTTTTCTAATAACATATTTGTGCCAAAATATGAGGTAAGGGAGAGAGTGACCACTGCAGTTATATGGGGGAAAGACATTCCTGACAGGGGACATGTTCAGTTTGAGATGCCTACTATACATTCCAGGAAAAACATGTGGAATTGAGAACTGGCAACACTGGTCTGAGGTTTATGGGAGAAGTCTGGGCTGATGATCCTAAAATTATGAGAATGGATGAGATTCCCTAGGGAGTGAGCACAATTGGAGGAGAGAAGTTTCCATATAAGTTTCCAAGTGCACTACTGTGTTAAGAGGTCAGGAAGATAGCAAGGAAGGAAGATCAAGAACAAACAGCCAGAAAATAAATAAATAAGTAAATAAAATAAAGAACAAACAGCCAGTGAGGTAGGAGATTTGGGGAGCCAAGTGGAGAACGTGTGCCCAGAATGAAGTGATTAACTGTGTCAAGTGCTGCTGATCAATATGAAGATTATTGATGACCTTGGTCAGATAAGTTTCAATAGAGATTGGGGGGAAAGCCTAATTGGAGTGAAATTTAAGAGAGAACAGGAGCCCTGGCTGGTGTGGCTCAGTGGCTGACTGTCATCCTATGCTCCAAAAGGTTAGATTCCTGGCAGGTAAGGGCACATGCCCTGGTTTCGGTCCGGATCACCAGTGGGGGGCAGGCAAGAGGCAGCTGATTGATGTTTCTCTCTCAACCATATTTCTCTCTCCCTCTTCCTTCCTCTCTCTAAAATCAACAAAAACATATTTTAGAGAGAGAGAACAGGAAAGAAAGAAATGTGCTGCAGTGAGGAACAGCTGGAGGGAGTATGTGGGTTTTTTGTTTTGTTTTGTGAATCCTCACCCAAGGATATTTTTTCCATTGATTTTTAGAGAAAGAGGAAGGGAGGGGGAGAGACAGAAAGAGAGAAACATCGATGTGAGAGAGACACATCAATTGGTTACCTCCTGCACACGACCTGACCGGGGCTGGGGATCCAGCCTGCAACCAAGGTATGTGCCCCTGATGGGAATTGAACCCAGGACCCTTCAGTCTGAGTGGGCCAACGCTCTAACAACTGAGCCAAACTGGCTAGGGCTTTGTTTTGTTTTTTTTAAGATGGATAAATAACACATGTATTTATGCTGATGTAAAGAATCCAGCAGAGAAGAAGATATTGGTGATGCAGGATGTAGAAGAGAGGAGAAAGGCTGGCAATGTGTCCCTGAGCAGGCAGGCAGGCACGGGAGTTCAGAGGCTGGAGAAAAACAGCATTGGATTGAGCCCTGGTACAGAGTCAGGGCTGAGTGCCCCCAGCACTGGCCTTGGATGACAACTAGGAAGATGCCTCTGATAGGGGACAGACCAGGGATTGGCTTGGATTTACTAAAATTTCTCTTTGACCCCTAAGAGCTGATTCTAAATTGGATTTGAACAGATGGTTCAGTGGAGAGAGAGCATTCCAGGTAGAGGGACTAGCATAAGCAAGGGGCATGCAGGCAATCAAACCGAGGCCTAATGGGCTGGAGGGGATGGGGGAGGTTGGGAGGGGAGGGAGAACTGAGAAATGCTACAGATAGGAGGCAGGTAGAAGGTAGTGAGGCCCCCTCACCCATCAGCCTGGCCGCTGAGGCTACATTCTACCAGCTTGCAGCCTAGGTGGGTGCTGAGCACAGGGATTAGAATCACGAGTAGGGGTTCAGGCCTGTTGCAGGAGCTCACAGGCTGAAGGTGTTCCAGGGACCATCCATAGACTCTTCCCCCGGATTTCTCCCAGGCCAGCTTGCTTTGGTGAGCCTGCTGGAGGGAATGGACACTGGGGTAGGTGGGGCGAGGGGGCAGCTACCCAGACCCCTGGGAACCCAGCAAGGGCAGTGTAGAGTACAGGGCTTGCTGGTCCTCAGGCCACATCCACTCATGCTGGCCTCCACACGCCCTTCTGTGTCCCCAGAAGTCAACAGTGTGGGGCGTTGGAGTGGCCCAGCTGGATGTGACCCCCAGAACAGAATGGTGCTGGACTCAGGGGCTCAGGTGTATGGGCAGCCACCCCCCAGCCCACCAGCCAGGCGCGCAACCTTGGGCCGTAGGCCGAAGCCCTCAGACCGAGATGGAACACCGCTGTACCCCTGGCCTCGGTCCCTGGCCTTGCCCCTGGCTCTGTCGGTCTCCTCAGCCCTGCGGCCCCGGCCTGAGCTGCAGTCCCTCTCAGAGCTGCGCTTGGGCCACTATGGCCACATGCGCCGCAGTGAGAGCACCTACACCATAAATAATACTGGCCGACTCAGGGGTGGCACCCAGAGTCAGGCCCCACCTGGACGCAGACGGGATCTAGGCAGGGGCACCCTGCGGTCTGCTTCCTCCCTGCCTCACATTGCCAAGACTCAAAAGTCCGGAGGCCGTGGTGCCAGCAGGAGCCCCTGCCTATTGATGGCCCTGCGGCCAACCAACATGGACAGTGAGCGGGACAAGTTCTTCCAGTCCCGTTACACCTACAACCCACAGTTCGAGTACCAGGAGCCCATGCCTACGGCTGTGCTGGAGAAGTACTGTGAGGCCTCTGGACAGTTCATCCATCAGGTCAGTCCAGCCTGCCCACCTCACCCTGGCCCTGACCACCCCAGAGGCCTGGCCTGACCACCCACTTGGACCCTGTGTGCAGGCAGTTGGCATCATTGAGGCTGTCCTGGAGAAGTTTGGCACCTACGAACACTTTGAGGCTGCGACTGGGGGCCAGCTGCTGACCAAGTGCCAGATCTGGTCTATTGTGCGCAAATACATGCAGAAGGAGGGCTGTGTCGGGGAGGTGAGCTTGCTCTGCCTTTGAGCACCCTCTTCTACCTGACCCAAACTGGCCTGACCGGTGGGTGGTGCCAGACCCAGCTCCACACCTGGCCAGCTACAGACCCCTGGCAAGCCCCTGTCCCTGCCCTAGTAAGGTGGGAACTGGCTCTGAGCAGAGATGGCGAAGAGTGGGTGTCCTGGCCAAGTGTCCAGCCTGGATGCCCTGTGGCGTTATTAGTGGGACCACCTGCACACCGGCCCCAGGGCTGGTGGCCATGGCTCTGAGCACTGCTGCTGCCTGCAGGTCGTGGTGCAGCTGAGTGAAGACCTGCTGTCCCAGGCAGTGATGATGGTGGAGAACAGCAGACCAACACTGGCCATCAACCTGACCGGAGCCCGCCAGTATTGGCTGGAAGGCATGCTGCGGCACGAGATAGGTCAGGGTGTGGGTAGGTGGGTGGGCAGGTAGGGATGAGAGGGGGCTGGGATGTGGGGGGACAATGAGGGGCCCCAGAAACCCCACCCCTCTCTTTCTCCCACTTACCTTTGAGGCTAGCGCCCTTTCCTTTCATGAGTAGTCACCTCCTCCCTCTGGCTCAGGGAGGTAGGCCCGAACATGCCTGCCCCTCTCTGGGCTCACCCTCATCTCTCTCTCCTCTTGGGTATCTTTTCCTCCCTCCACTTCCTCTCTGGTTTCCCTGGGCAGTGGGGACAGGCTGTTGGGGCCTGGACAGGCCAGAGGGAAAAAACACTGAGGGTCTCACTAGCCCAGCCAACATGCAGGCCCTCCAGGGTGGGAATGGAATTGGCTGAGGACACACAGAGCCAGGTATAGGAGGGGGTAGGCCAGGCTGGAAGGAAAGCGGGGGACACAAACTGCTATTCTTTTCTGCCTGTCCCTCCTCA